AAACAAATGGTAAATATATGGGTGTTATTTACCCCCAGATGAAGTAATATAAACAGGTAAAGGTGTTACAAGTCTAAGAATTTATTTATATTCAGGTTTAAGAATTTATATATATATATGTTATAAATGGCTGTAAGTCCCGCCACACCACATCAAAACACCAGCCAGAAAGACTCGCTCAGTAAAACACGCCACATTTTTTCACAGTAATTAATAATTTGGTAATTATTAAAACACAATTTGTCATTAACCTCGCCTAGATCAGGTCAATGAATAAATTGAAAGGTAATTAGTTATTCCAAATGGTCTCACTCATCCAGCGAGTCGTATCTCTTTTGATGGTAATTATCTGCTGATTGACCTGTAATTAAGAAGAATTAGAAGCTCAGGTAATATTTAGTTACAGTATTTTCATTTTTTCTTATTATATTATTAGGAAAAATATATAATAATTATTTTATTTCTTTGTTTCTTATATAATTATGTATTGATAATGAGACTATAGATTATACATGTAATTACAAATATATGTTAATTATTCATTTATTTTCTTATTTTTATCACTATTGTTATTGTCATTGTCAGTTATTATTATTATCATTATCATTATTATTATCATTATTATTTAAATACGAAGATTTCAGTTAGTTTGTATCTTCAGAGAATTTCTTGAATTAATAAATCTGGGAATTATCAACAGTGAGGAATTAACGATAAACAGATAATTTTGGATACACTAAGAATTATCAAAAGTCAAGACAGGGAATTATTGGGAATTTTCGGGAATCAAGTCAATTTGATATGCAATAAATCGGGAAATTCCATATATCAATATTTTTTTAGGAATCTGGAATATTCCATAGGGTCAATTCCATTAACTGGGAATACTTGGATGGAATCGAGAATCGGGAATCCTTGGAAAGTTAAATTACTACTCCAGATACCATGAATTCTCGGAGGTGGCAAATTTATGATAAAGGATTTAACTGGAATCTGGAATCAAGAATATTCAATATTTTTAACCTTAAATATCAGGAATTTTAATAGAGTGGGAATTTCCAGACAACAGAAGAAATTGGGAATCCTCTCATGAAAAAAGTAAAAAAAAAAAAGTGGGAATTTATAGGAAAAGAAATTCAGAAATCCTTGGAATGAAAACCTAAAAAAAAAACCTTTGAAATATTAATGAAACAAATTAAAAAAAAGTGAAAGTTGTCTAGGAATCGAAAGCATAATAAAGAAAACACAAATTCCCAAAATGAGGAAACCAGGAATCAGGAATAAGGAATCAGAATGCCCAGCAGCGTCAACTTAAGGACCTGGGGGAGGGGGTTTAAGACCTTTCACTCTCATTATTAATTCAGGTAAAACTTTCTTTTTTAGCTTTCTCTTGTCACCTGATTTTTCCTTGTTTGTGATCGATTAAACTGGGGTGATGGTTACTCACCCCAGTCCGAGGGAGATGGGGAGAAGAATAGGGTAAAGGGAGGAAGGAGAAGAAAAGAGGAAGAACAAGGAAGGAAATGATAATATGAAGTAGATGGAAAGGGACAATGAAGATAAGGAAAGGAAGACGAGAAGGGAAGTGAATAATAAAAGGGAGGAGGGTGAAGAAGAAGGAAAGGGGTGTGAGGAGAATACTAATGAGAGAAAGAGAAGTAAAAAGAGTGGAAGGAGGAGAGAGAGAGAGAGAGAGAGAGAGAGAGAGAGAGAGAGAGAGAGAGAGAGAGAGAGAGAGAGAGAGAGAGTGAGAGAGAGAGAGAGAGAGAGAGAGAGAGAGAGAGAGAGAGAGAGAGAGAGAGAGAGAGAGAGAGAGAGAGAGAGAGAGAGAGAGAGAGAGAGAGAAAGGTAAATAAAACGAAACAGAAAAAAAGATGTAAATAAAACAGAGAGAATGACGAATTCAAAAATAAAACAAGACTATAAAACACACACACACACACACACACACACACACATCAAACCCCACCACACTACCTCCTCCCACCTTTTCTACACTCAAGGTTTCAACCTCTCTACACCCTCTCTCCCCACTTCCCTTATTTTCCCCACTCATCCCCATACCTCCCCACTTCCCTGTAATTATGGCAATAATATACAGAGAGCTGGAAATACCCCACTCTTCTTCTTCCTATCTCATCTTCTCCTCCTCTCTACCCCTTCCTTCCTACCCTCCCTTCTCCTCTCCCCAGTGGTAGGTATAGAGTGGTGGCTCACTGATGCACATTGGACACATAAAATCGCCAGTAATAAAGATTTAGACAGTAGTAACTCTTGTGGGGACAGCTGTTTTGGCATATCCATGTGGAGTTATTATGCACTGTATGCAAATTACCTGTACAGTGTGTGTGTGTGTGTGTGTGTGTGTGTGTGTGTGTGTGTGTGTGTGTGTGTGTGATCATTTATCCCGTGTTAGTGAGCGGATGGACGTGAATTGGCCTTTTATCTACGGTATTTCAGCCTCAGTATATTCTCGTTGTCACATGAATAAAGTATTTCC